AACAAATGCCAGGCACGTTTAATAGCAGGTGAGTTCCTTTACAAAGTAGAGGGTGGCTTTTTCTTTACAGATATATAGCATCAGCAAGATCTAGAATATCACCACCCATTCTGCAAAAGTGGGAGCAACATTTCTTAAAGGATGAACTATAAGGATACGTGGCTTCTTAGCAGAGCAGGTGTTCGTGTGCACATATGCAGAAATCACATACAACACAAGGCGCTCTTTAGTTTACGATCAAATAATGAAAACACCTTCAGACAGAGTCCAAAGATAACAGCCAAAGTAACCACGCCTGGCAACTCCAGGGAAAAACTGCAAAAGGACCCCGTTCCTAGCGTCAGAGCTGCCTTGACCCTACACTGGGAGAAGCGCCACCAGGGAACATCCACCGTCTTGCTCCCTAGCTCAGCTTTCTGCACGGTGAGGTAAGCACTTCGCTGAGAAGTCGACAAAGCGCGTCGACTTAGTGCCCCTTTTACTAACACCCCGAGGGAGGCTCAGTCCGGATCCACACCCAGTCGCCCTAAGCCTCTGCAGCCGGCGCAAGCCCCACCCAGCCAACCAGCCCAGAATAGCATTACACCACTTTCCTCTTTCTTGTTTTTTGTTTTTGTTTTTTTTAAACTGCACCACTGTAAATATCAATCTGTGCCTAACCGGGCACGGAAAAAAAAAAAGTCTTTCTTTTCTTTCGCCCGGGGTTGGCGACTTGTCCTCAGCGGTAGGGCCCTTGTCTCAGCCCGAGGAGCAGAAAGCAAAAAAGACTCTCCCCCCAGATCGCTGCGGCCTGGCCCAGGGAAGAAGTTTCCACTGGCTTGGCCGATTGCAGCTGCCAGGGCGGCGCTGGGCTTGGAGAGTCTCAGCATCCCCCGATCTTGCACCCCGAGCCCCCTCCGTGCTGTCCCCACCAGCGCCGGGGAGGGGAACCCACTTACCCCACAACGGAAATCATCATGGCAGCCACCACCAGGTAGTTGGTCTGATAATAGAGCAGGTTGCTCACCACACGGTTGTTCCATTTGGAAATGTCCCTGAAGTCCGGTCGGGCGAAACGGTCAGAGCCCGGGAAGAAATCGTCCCAGGCGCGGAGCGGAGCGATGTTCACGTCCATGTCGCCGAGCTTCTTGTTCCTCGCCTCTGGAATCCGGAGGCGGCGGGAGCGGCAACCGATCAGCTGAGCTGGGTTATAGAGATTCTGGTGGCTCGGCCTCCGTTGGCTCTGCGGTTGGCGCACAGCAGTGCAAACGAAACTGGAGCGGAAGGGCGGATTTTCTGTTCCTTCTTTCCTGCGTGATTGGTTCTAAGTGGTTAAGCAGAGCCTGCGACAGAGTAAGGGACGGAGCTCGGAATAGTGGTGAGTGACCGAAGGAGACCCGAGGAAATCCTTGTCTGAAGCGAGGTGGCAAGGTTTTCCCTAACAGCCCGAATACCAACGGTCTCCTTTGACATATCTCTTTGGGGTGTTCAACCTAGGGATGTGTGCTGGACTTTTGGGGAAAATACTGGCAGCTGTTCACATTCCAAATTATATTTTTTAAAAAAATGGAATGGAAGATGATTCTAGTGTTACTGGAGGATGAGCTGGTTTTGAAAACTAAGCAGTTAATGACCTCTGCACATCTGAATGCAATGCCTGTGTTTTCCCGATTCACTATGAGTCACTATGAATGAAATGAGATAGGAAAAATGGAAAGGACATGTAGCATGAAAGAGCTGGTTTGTTATTTCACCTCTCTTCTCTATTCCTATTCTCTTGGGGGAAATTATTAAACTATGGTTCATTCTGATAAAGTAAACAATCAGGGAACTGCAGCTATGGGTTGGGCATATTATTTACATTTTAAAGCAATAATTTGGTAGACACAATTCTAAAATGCTGTGTCTAAGATAATGAACAGAATCTCTAAACGCGAGAGTGGTGCTTTTAAAAAAGAAACTAAACACAATCATCAGACCATCAATTTTCAAAAAAAATAGAAAGCAATAAAATACTTAATGCAAAGTCTAGAAGACATAATTTAATTTTCACTGATGATTCAGAAAGAAGGCAGTTAAAAAACTTACAATGACTCTAGATTATCTTGCCATTCAGAAAATTTGGTTTTTAAATCAAATAGGTACTTAAATATAGCATAGGTGATACTTTTTTTGAATAAAGTTTAAAATATGAAAATGCGGGCCTCCCTGGTTGCTCAAGGGGATAAGACGCAACCTAGGAAGCTATCCTCAACCACTGAAGCACGAGTTTGATCCCTGGCCAGGGAGTTACCCTGTCTTGCCCACTGCTTCCCTCAGCAGTGTATTTCAATCAGTCTGCCTGTTCTGTTCCCCACTTTGTCTCTGGTGAATCCTCTCATCCCACACACACACCTCTGGCCTGCACCCAGTTCTTGTATGCGCAAATAAATAAATCTTTTAAAAATATATGAAAATGCTTCTGAGTTCCCACATTTTCTTGAGTCTGGAAAAATGAGAGAGTCATAAGTCAGACAGAGGAAAATTACAGTCTTAGCTCTCCCATTCCTGCTAGGGACTGTGAAGAAATAACTTAATTTTCTCCAATCTTGAGTGCCCCTGGTCAGTATAGTTAGTCTACTTGTAAGAAGAGGAAATTCAGACACAGACGATGACAAAGGATGACCTATGACAACAGAGGGGAAGATAGCCAACAAGCCAAAGAAAGAGACCTGGATCATCTCCTTCCCTTACTGTCCTCAGAAGAGAGGACCAACACCTTGACCTTGCATTTTCAGTCTCCGACCAGAACTGTGAGAAAATAAATATCTAGCATTTAATTCAAATAACTAAATAGATAAATAAATAATAAATAAATGAAATTGAGACACTCACTAGAGATGTGCCAGGCCTTGGTGCTCAGTTACAGGAAGTCAGAGGGTGTGGAATAATTCGCCTGGGCTCAAGAATTTCAAGAAGCAGCATTGTGGGTAGGCAGAGTAAATGACCTTGGTCAAGACCAGCGTGGGAGCCCCAGTAGGAACCCACAGCTGTTGGAGAGATCAGTGAGCATTAGAGAGCTATGACTAAGAACTTTGACCTTCCTGTTGCTCAATACTATATGACCATAAGCTGTCAAATGTGTGTTAGTAACAATATGATGACTATTGATCATAGGCAATTAAAATCTAATAAACATTTGTTCAGTCTATTTTTACTTATTTGCTTAAAACTCCAAAGGTTTTTTTTTTAAAGGCAGATATTACTTCATATGGCATAATTCCTTTCTCCCCTTTTCCCTCCATGCTTCTCTTATGGCAGATTTTTTTCCTCCTCTACATATTTTCACCTTTGTTATAAAGCATTTCAAATAAACATGACTGCATATGGAATCCTTGCTTTATCTCAGACACTATTTGAAATAGTAGTAGTAGCAGCTCTTTGTCACTCTTCCTCCAGGGGGCTAGATTAGCTGTAGGGGGCTCTTATACCCAGACTTGTGCTTCTACGTAGGACAACCCTGAACGTTTGTCTGTATATGTTATAGCAAATAGTGTAATAATTTCTGATATATCTATTTGAAATGAAAGTAATCCGAAACATGTGACCCGGAGAAAGGCTGGTATGTCCTGCCAGGAATGGGGACTGTGAACTTCAAATCCCACCCACCAACCCCCCTTTTCTGCCCAACAATGACTTTCAGCTCCTCGAGTGCTACTGAACTGAACCTGACTGAGGGATGAAAAAAAAAAATACAAAAAGAGATTAAATATTACAATTAGTAACACCTGTATTTACTAAGTATTCATCAGGCTTCATATAGTCCATTTTAGTGGTTCTCAAACTTCATTTTACACAGAATCATCAAGGCTTTGCAGAAGGCCAGGCATGGGGCTGAACATTTATAACACCTCCCCAAATGATGCTGATGTGGCTGATCAGAAATATTACTTTAAGAGCCATTATGGATTTCACTTAGTTGTCAGTGTTACAGGTGTTACTATTACCCCCAGTTTACAAATAAAGACACGGAAGTGCCCACAGTCTTATAGTCAGTAAGTGGAGAGTTAAAGATTTAAACCGTTCACTCTAACTCTAAATCTCATTCTTGTTCTGCTCTAAGAAAGGATATATGTATCCCTCATGGATATATATATATATATATATATTATATATGGATATGTACACGTAAAGCATGATTTTTTTGTATTTAGCCATCCAATTGTGTGTATGCACATGCACGCTCACACACACACATACACACAAACACACACTTATCCAACTCTGAAAGAAAATAGTTCAAAATTCTATCACCATTTGTCTTTAGGTGATGAGATTATGGTTGTTCCAAACTATTGTTTGAATTTTGCAATTTTCTTTATACTTTTAATCTATTTACATGCTTTTCCCCATAAAAGAATGTTTTTTCAATTTATTAATGGTTCTATTTCCACTGAATTTCTTATCTGACATAACAGATGTGTCATTAAAAATTAAAACAATGATGTCAAATATATAAATAAAAAATTGCTATAGATAAAAATAAAATAAAATACTAATCTTAATATTCACAAGGAAAGAAAACAATAATCTCTCCATAGCACCTATATAAACTGATTCAGAAAATTATTCTTAAAGTTTGTATCTTTATGCAAAGATGTTGGATCAATTGTGAAAATTAGAAAGTGAGAATTCTCTCATGTTTTTCCGCAGAGGGAAGTTTTGGCATATTAAGCTCTTCCAGGAGATTTTTCCTAGAACATGTCATTTTATATAACCACTAACACACACATTGTATAAAAATAATGTATTATAGCTGTATTTGCGTTCAGCATAACACCACTATACACTGTATGTGATTTATCTAAATAAGTGTATTAATCAAGATAATTCTATATATAATTACATTTATACGATTATAATCAAGGAAAGGTGTAATGCCCTGAAGAGCCTCAGCCAAGTCGGCCCCGCCCCTCCGGCCCCGCCCGCCCCGCCCCTCCGGCCCCGCCCGCCCCGCCCCTCCGGCCCCGCCCCTCCGGCTCCGCCCGCCGTGGGGGCACCTGGGAGGAGGCGGAGAACAATATGGCGGATGGTGAGGAGCCGTAAGTACCCGGGCTCTGCAGGCGCGCGGGTCCGGGCTGGGCTGTGAGAGAGCGTGGCGGTGGGCGGTCGCCGCCGCCACCCGGGGTCCCCCCGACCCCCGCCCCGTCCCCTCGCCCCCCATCTCCTCGCGGCGCCCAGTGTGTAGCGTGATGCTGACCCTTCTTTTATTCTCTCTTTCTTTTAGGGAGAAGAAAAGAAGGAGAATAGAGGAGCTGCTGGCTGAGAAGTTAGTGCTGCCGGGAGGCCGGGGCCCTCTCCGGGGACCCCCGCCTCCCCCGACCCCAGGCCTAGGGGACCAGCCGCAGCGGGACCGGGGGGGTGGGAGTGGGGCAGTCGGAGCGCAGGCCGCGCGGCCTCATCCCCGGTCCCCCGTCCCGCAGCCCCAGGTGCCGGGCGGGCGGCTCCTGCCCTCTCTCCCTCGGGCGGGCTCCGGCCCGGGTGCACCGCAGCAGATTTTTGCAGGGGCCGGCCAGGGTGCTTGGGCCAAAGGTCTTGCGGAAGGACCCTGAGCCCTCCTTCCTCTATCCCAAATTGTTAGAGCTGCAGTCTTGTGAAAAGACATGTTAAACACGAAACGGAGATTAGCCTATTTTTGGTCTTTCATAAACACTGAGACAGTAGTATTAATTGCAGATATTTTTATGGGAACTGTATATCAGGTGTTGTACTAAGCACTCAAATCAAAGTAATTGGCTCTTAAAGCAGAGAGTTGACTCCAAAGAGTTTATTTTTCCTCTTTACTACACATCCTACTTCTTATCAGATGCTTAGTTTTGTGCTGGTGAAACAGGTTTAAACTAAATGTTTTATAACCATGCCAACGCCACATATTTTTCTTCCTCCCTACTGGGGCGGGGGTACTCCTGCAGTGGGTGTGGTGAGTTAGTAATTTCTGTGCCAATTCCCAGGAACAGTACTTCAGAGTGTGTAGGCATCCCTCAGAAAGTTATATTGCAAGAGAACTAGAAAGACAGAATAAATTTCACATTCCTTCCCAACTATTCATTTCCTTTTCACTTTTGCTTAAAATGATAGTTAAAATTTGAATGCTTAGTATATGCCGAGTACCATACTAGGGCCTCTCTGGATTATCTCTATATCCTCATTTTGACCTCAAGTAGCTATGAACAGCCTACAGATGAGGTTTATGGCTGTAATCTTCTCAAGGTCACAATGCTGTTAATTGTGGAACCAAATCCAGTTGTGACATCAAAATTTATCTTGTTTTTATTGCTTGCTTTGCTAATACTTCTTGATCCTTTTTTGTACAAAATTAGGTGTTACTAATATACTCGAAGGTAGAAATTGTGAGGTTATAGGAAACTTGAAAGTTAAAAGTAAGCACAACCAAATATGAATATTGCCCTCAGTGAATAAGAAAATACAGTTTAAGGAGTCCCTTCTTATTCATTGTTCTTAGGGTCTCCAGATGTTAATGCCTATTTGTGGCATAATTAGAACCTAAAACTTTGTGTTGTTTATTTGCAACAAAAAACACTTAATAGTTTTGAAGTTCTTTTTGAAAATTGGGACCTCATTCGGAAAAGAATACGTGAAAGTTCCTTTCATCAAAAATACGCAAATCCTGTTTTCAAATATGGAAATAACATGAGTTGTATTAGATTTGAAGCCTCACAATTCTGAAAGTGAAGTTTTGTGGGGGGGTTTTGGTAACTGATGTTTCCTGATCCAAGTGTGTTGAAGGAACAGGTTGGACTTTAGAGTGATCTTTTGTAATTTCCAGGTGTAGAAAAGCCCACTTCTCATTAATTGACCGCTGTCCCAAGTTTTTCTTGGGTTGCTTTAGGAATTCCAAACAAGTAGACTGATATATTTAATCAAATGTGCAGTTCTTAGCTTTAAATCGTATAATAATAGCCACCAAGGGAAAATGAAAGCATAAGAAAACCACATTGACTGTTCCCTTTTATTTGAGCAGGTTTGGTGTGATTACCTTTTCATTTGGGGAAACCCCTAATGTTTGTAAGTGTGGCTTTTTCATACTGATCTTTGCAGCTGAATTTACTGTGTTCTGTGCAGAATGGCTGTTGATGGTGGGTGTGGGGACACTGGAGACTGGGAAGGTCGCTGGAACCATGTAAAGAAGTTCCTCGAGCGATCTGGACCCTTCACACACCCTGATTTCGAACCGAGCACTGAAGTGAGAAACATTTATTTTTAAATAAATCTTCTAATAGTTTAGTTATATGTTTCAAAAATAATAAAATGCTTCCTTTTAATTTGCTCTTATAATAAAAATACTAATAAAATTGTATAAGTTATCTTGAAATGCTAAATTGAATATTTGCAATTGATTTTATTTAAATGTTCAATATGAGTCTTTTTTTACATTTTTCATATAATACAGATTTTTTCAAGGGCACATAAACTTTATAACCTCATTTAAAATTCTAAGTCATACTTCACTTTAAATTCCAGTTTAAAATTACTTCTGACAATACTTTTTAGTCTTGCTTTGAGAAATTAATTTTGATAGGAATATAGATGTGCTTAATTTTTGAAATTTAGTTGAAACAAGTAATTTAAATCCAATATAATTGCATGTTTAAGTTATGTGATTACTGTATAATAGAATTTTACATTAATAGTGTGACTTAAAGCAAATGTTAAATTAGATACAACTTGTTTTTCACTACAAAGTCAGAAAAAGTATTCTTTATAGTAAATTTTATGACCTTTGTGTTTATAAAGAGATGTTGTTTTGAAATAGAAACACCGTGCTGCTTCTAAAATGCATGCTCTTGGGTTTGACCCAGTGTCTCATCTGAGTAACCTTTCTTTTGAATCTTGGACAGAATTAACTCTGCCATTCTTTGAATAAATTTTACCATATTTTCTTATGCTTCTGATTTTTTTCCCCTGGTAATTTAAGATGCTCCTGTTGAATGATTGTTTCAAATTATATTTCTGCTGATATGTAATTTTCTAAGAGTTTTATCAGTTTTTTCCTTATTGTGATCTAATGATTTGGAAGTCTCAGTCATTATATTCAAAAGTAGTTGTTACTGTTACAACTACTTTTATTTTATTTAGACCTTTGAATACCTTGTATAGTACTTGATCCTCTGTTCTAAAGGTGTTTTGCACTTTTTTTTTTTTTTTTTTAGGAAATCACTTAAATAATTGAATTTGCTACTTTCCCCTTTTAAAGAAAAAAAAAAGAATGTTTAACTTGGCATAGTTTTTCCTTTTTTTTCTTTTTTTTCTTTTTTTTTTAAAGATTTATTTATTTATTTATACAAGCACTGGGTACAGTCAGAAGCACGGGAGGGTGAGAGAATTCATCAGAGCCAAAGCCGGGAGCAGAACAGGCAGAAGGACTGAAGTACACTGCTGAGGGGAGCAGCGGGCGGCAGGAGAGGTCTGCGCGCCATGTGGGACCCTTGCCCTGCGGCTGGGGATCGAACTGGCGCTGCCACCGGGGATCCAACCGGTGCTGCAGAGGCTGCGGGTAGCTTCGCAGCCCAGCGCTCAAGCGCTGCGCCACCGGGGAGGCCCGGCATAGTTTTTCTTGTTACAAATAACCTTGCAATTTGTACAATAAAAATTAATTTAAAAAATTAAAAATTATAAATAATTTAGGGTTATAAATAATTTATAAATAAATATAGGGTTATAGAACTTCTGGTTCTACCTTGTTCTTAAATTTGAAATAATTTATTAAATACCAAGTACTCTTTATCCCAAATTGAATTTTTCACGGAAACATCAAAAACTGTTTTATGGCTCTTATTACTTTATTGATGTTACTTTGGGGTTTTGTCAACCAGTTTTAATATGCCTTTTCATTCTTTACAGTCTCTTCAGTTTTTGTTAGATACATGTAAAGTTCTAGTGATTGGAGCTGGCGGCTTAGGATGTGAGCTCCTGAAAAATCTGGTAATTATATATAAAATATGTATTTTTTTCTTCTTTGTGATAATTAACCATTTTCCCTTTTATGTCATAAATTTTTTTATTTTGCCTGTTGACCTTGCTACTTGAGCCTTTGTTAGCTAACTTTAGCATGACATATTTCAGACAGTAATTAAAATGTTAGATAACCTTTGGGACTTCTAAAACACTAATGTTCTCAGCTATAAAGTCACTAGAAATTGTTTTCTTCTCTGCTCTTTAAGCAAACAAATCTGCTTCCTCTTGCAGAACACTCATTAGTTTCAATGATGTAAGTTATAAAAACTAGCATTTCATATTTTAACATGTAATTTTAAAGAATTTATTATTTTCTTTTGCTCCTGAAAATCATCTTGTTACATGGATAAGGTATTTTCATATAGAAGGAGACAGTAAGTTTTAAAATTATATTATAACTTGCTCAGGTTTTTCTGGATTGTAATGATGTGCCTGGAATCTAATGTAGGACATTGATTCTTAGGGTGTTCTTTTCACTGAACTGTTAGGTCATTAACCAGATAGTAATTTTTGAGGATCTTATAGTAGTAGATTGATGAAATTTGGGAATGCTAAACCTCTTTTTTTTTTTTTTCCCTTTTGGTCAGTTTGTTTTTAATGAATATCATTTTAAGCAAGGTTCCTATTTAGTGAAATATATTCATATACTGCTTGGATATCCTTAACTTGTGATTTAATTAGTTGTTTTCATTGGCTTCTGGTTACCACAGAGTAGCTTTGTATAAGTCTTTGTCAGTTTATTTGACAAAAATGGATAGGGGAGGATTGATTGTAGAGACGTTATCTTCAGGTATCGTACTCCTTGGTATATAAAAAGTGGAAATGCTAGAGTAGACTTACTTGAAAATGAAGCAGGTAACAACCAATTAAAGGACCTAAAAAGTTGGCCATGAGGCTATAATTTAAATATAAACAACCACATTAATTCTGCTAGGGAACACTAATCTTACTCCTAATGAAACTACAAAACCTACAAAACTGCTTCATCACCTGTGATGGATTCTTCGAGGGATTGTAGCAGCTATTCATGGTCTCTATACTTAATAAATTTGAAGTTTCATTGGGGAGACAAGTTTCACATGAAATAGCAATATGTACAGTTTACTTTGATGGGGTGCCAAAATGACAGTACTTTATCAGCCATAAATACTCATTTAGTACATAAACCAAAGAATTCTAGAAAGGAAGGATTTTTGGAGAATGGATAGTGGTTTTGGTAGGCATTTTATACACAAATCTCCTAATCCTTAACTCTTCCATTTAGGAAATTGTTATTTTTAATGTGTTATATACTAATTTAAATGTAATTGGAGATTAGAGCTGAGGATTAGTCATTTAGCAACTTTAGGAGTAGCCTTGGTATTTATTTATTGCATTGTAATAACCTCCTAGACAAAAGAAGGAAACTCAGGGTTTTCAGTTTTACCACTTACTTTGCTTATTTCAGACATAAGTACATAGGGGTATGCATGTTTTTTAATTGTAATACCCCCAAATGCTCTTCTAAGAAAAAGTATATGGCATTAATATTGATTAAATATTTATTGACCCTCCTTCCCCATAAGCTATGTACTGTTTTAGATGCTAAAAATAAGCATTGAACAATATTGATAGGTGGTTTTTTTTTTTTTTGACTTATATTTTAGTGATGGGAAAAAACAAGTCAAATACACCTTATATTAGGTGGTAATAAATGCTATGGAGAAAGGAAGGATAGAAAATAGGTAGCCTGGTAGGAAGGGGAAGGGCTTACAAAAAGGTAGGTGCTCTTTGAGCCAAGAGGAGCAAGAATATTTCTGACAGTAGTAGACTGTGCAAATGCAGAAGTTGTGAAGTAGGAGCGTGGCGTATATATTCCAGTACAGCAAGGGTGTTATAGCTAAAGCAGAAGTGGATAAGAGGAAGCATTTTTCAGAATGCTATCAGAGATATAATAAGAGACATAGGGCCTTGCAGTAAATATCACAAAAGATTTTGAAGGCTGTTGTAAGAAATTTGAGTTTTACTGAATTAGGAAGTCTTTGGAGAGATTTAAGCAGATCAAATTAACTTGATCTGACTGGATCAAAGGAAAAACAGGAGGGAGCTCAGAGATTAGTTAGAAGTTTGTTACAATCATTGAGGCAGGAAGTGATAGTTACCTGGAACATGGTGGTAGACTTGAGGTGGAAAGAGGAGGTCAGATTATGAATGTTTTAAAGATGAAGTCAACAGGTTTAGCTCATGCAACAGATTTGTGGTGCATGAGAGAAAGGCATTAAGGATGACATAGCAAAGTTTTAGCCCTGATCTCTGGAAAGATGGAGTTAACATTAACTGGAAATGAAAGAATGGGAAATGAGTATATTTGGTTATGTTAGCAAATTAGGATGATTGAGTTTGGTTTTGAAAATTACTATGTCTTTTAGATGTTGTTTATCTAATGTGATTATCTGAGTTCACCAGAACTAATGAAGGATAGTCCAAATTCTCTCTAGTTAGGTGGGAGGAAACTCCTGAGTGGTGAACTAGAAACTAATTTTAAAAAGCATTCCAGTTTTCAAGCACGTGGTGACCAAGGGAACATGTTTAAGGAATTGATCCATACCCTGCCAAGTACTTCAGATAGGTAAGGTCAGAGGGTGTGAGAATTGATCACTGGAGGTAATAACATGGAGATCACTGGTGACATTGACAAGTGCAGTTTTGGTGGAGAGGTGGGAGCAAAAGCTTTTTCAGAGTAAGCTCAAGACAGCTCTCCTGCCTACCTGTGACTACAGGTATTTTTTCCACAAACCTTTTCACTTTGCAAAATAGCTTTCCTGCCCCTCTGTGACTATGTAAGTGCATAGTCCTTCAGCTAACTCCTTTTGCTAATAAACCTGTCCTTTTAAAGGTAAAACAAAAAACAGAGTAAGGTCAAGAGAGCAGTTTGAGAGAACAAGTATGGACAACTCTTATAAGAGTTGTTGTAAATTGGGACAGAAAAATGGGGAAATTATTAGCAAGTGATTTAATGTAATCACTTAAATAAATGGATCCAGACCAGAAAGCATATTATGGAGACTTAATTCTGCTGATAAATTTGAATAGTGGTTTTGCTCTTAGAGTGTGTGGCATTATCATTGAAACACAACAGTATTTTGCTTTTCTCTAGCTTTTTTGACTGCTTGTTCTTGACTCAGTACTTTTAATAGTTCTTTGTATATTCAGTGTACGGTGTATTTATATAATATAGTTTCTCTTTAATAGTTTACTTCTGAATTGTGGCATGCTTAATGTCATGTAAACTGAGATAAAGCTTGTAGGAATTGCTTTAATAATATTTTGCAAACATAATAGCAAAAACTGTTCATAGTAAAATTAAAGTAAATTAAATATTAGTAAAATGAAAGTATCTTGTAATAGCAAAGCCACAAGTATTGAGATGTGTTTATGAAAATGCAAAACTGTAGAAATTTTGGGTTGTTCTCTTTTGGTTATACACTGTTTAAAACTGAATAGTTAAAGATTTTCATCTTTGTAGGAGCCCTGAGTTTTATGTACCTTATAAGATGGTTTAATCATTGAATAGATTATACAGAGTTATTATTAAAAATTTGTAGATTTAGGACTACCTTGAAAACAAATCTTAAAATTTCAAATGTGAGGAAATTTCTGCTTAATTGTTTTTTGTTTGTTTCTACAGGCATTGTCTGGTTTCAGACAGATTCATGTCATAGACATGGATACTATAGATGTTTCTAATCTCAATAGACAGTTTTTATTTAGGTAAGTTTTAATATCTAAGTTTTTTTCCCCCTTAAATCTGATGATTGCTAAACTTGAGAACGCTGCAGTAGTAGTAATTTTAAAAAACTACTGAAAGGATAACATTAATTTTATATATTCAAAAAAAGTAATAACCACTCCCATTTTATGTGAAATTTTACAAGGAAATTTGGGGCATTTAAGTGAAAGTAGTTCTGCTTTTTTTTTTAAGAAATTTCCAAATCATTTATTTGCTTTTGTGCTCTAGCATGCAGCTTTTTCCTCCTGGTGATTTCATAAGAAAACAATAGCTGGATTATTGAGCCCTAGTGAGATGTATTGGTGCAAGCTCCTGAGCCAGTATTTAAGTGGTGATCCTGGGACAATAATGTGGTATTGAGTGTAAACTTTTCTTAGAGGGGGGAAAGCAAATGGAGAGTTAAGGAGAGTAAACCCGGGAGCTATTGAAATAGAACTAAGAGGAATAATTACCATGGCAATACATGAATGAACGACAGAAAACATCAAGGAATGTTTAAGTGACTTTAAAAAGCTTGAAGTAGACCATATAGGAGATTTGGTGAAAAGTTCATTAGTGAATTTTAATTTAGCTTGTAAGGTTTTGAGTGACTTATATGAAAGTATTAATCCAGGAATTATTGACATGGAGAGATTATGGCCTTTTTTTATTTCCCTCTCTCTAGTGAGTAAGATAGTGATATAACTCAAATAGTCCTACGTATGTAGGCTAAGGTTACCTTAGTAGAAAAGATAAAATCAAATTGGAGATAGAACTCTGTCTTGTAGAAGATCTTAAAGAAATTGAGAGATGGGTAAAACTAAGTTAAGGAAGTGTTGTCATTGCAATGTAAGCTCTACATTTAACTTTCAAGTTTTATTTTTTAAAATGCCCTAAAGGGGGCCTCCCCTGGTGGCGCAGAGGTTGAGCGCTGGCCGGTTTGATCCTGGGCGAGGGTCCCACATGGCGCGCAGACCTCTCCTGCCGCCCACTGCTCCCCTCAGCAGTGTACTTCGTCAGTCTGCCTGCTCTGCTCTCCGCTCTGACTCTGGTAAATTCTCTCACCCTTCCGCGCTTCTAACTGTACCCAGTGCTTGTATATAAATAATAAATCTTTAAAAAAAAAAAAATGCCCTAAAGGGCCTCCTGGTGGCGCAGGAGGTTGAGCGCAGCGCTGTGAAGCTGTCCCAGCCTCTACAGTGTGGTTCGATCCCGCTGGCTACGAGATACCCACATGGCATAGCAGACCTCTCCTGTCTCGCCCGCTGCTCCCCTCAGCAGTGTGTTTCGGTCTGCCGTTCTGTTCCCCTACTCTCTCTCTCTCTGGTGAATCCTCTCACCCTCCCGCGTATCTAGCCTGTACCCCGGTTCTTGTATAAAAATAAATAAAAATTTTTTAAAGATTTATTTATTTATTTATACAAGCACTGGGTACAGTCAGAAGCATGGGAGGGTGAGAGAACCACTAGAGCCAGAGCGGGGAGCAGAGCAGGCAGAAGGAATGAAGTACGCTG